GAACTATTGCTAATAGTTTTTTGTTTACAATGTCGTAGTTGCATTCTGCAGGGGTCATTGTCTTTGATCAATAAGACACTGGCCTCCATTTTCCGTCTTCGCATTGTTGCGATAGTATACCTGAACACAGATATTTCGAGGCATTTTTTTCAATCATTCTCCTTCAGTTTGGGTCGAAGTGTACCATTATTGGTGCTGATTTTAGACGTGTCTGAATAGCATTGTATGATCTTTGTTCTGTTTTCCCCCATTCCCATTTCTTGTCTTTCTAGGTTAGGTTATAGAGTAGTTTTGCAAGCCTGCTAAACCGTTCTATGAACCTTCAATAAAAGTTGCAGAATCCCGTAAAGCACTGAACATCTGTTTTGTTGTTTAGTTTAGCCCAATTCCATATTGCTGCTATTTTGGCTGGGTCGACTTTGACCCTGCTCTGATTGATAATAAATCTGAGGTATTCGGTTTCTTCCTTATAGAATTCGCATTTTGTTGGTTTGATCTTCATTCCTGATCCTTGTATTATGGCCATAATGTTGCTGACATCCTTCTGATGTTATTGCATATTTTCCGAGTAGATGAGTACATCATCTAAGTATACGATGCAACATATGTCGAGGTACTTATTGAGTACCTGGTTGATTTATCTTTGGAATGAAGTCAGTGCATTGGTTAGCCCGAAAGGCATAACCAAGTATTCGAACATCCAGTATCTCGAGGCGAATGTAGTTTTCCATTTGTCTTCTGCTTTGATGCATATATTGTGGTATGTGTCCTTGATGTTGAGTTTGGTGAAGTATTTTACTGACTGTAGTCTCTCCAGTACCTCTCCGATTAAGTATAGTTGATATCGATCTTTCTTAGTAACTGAATTGAGGGCTCTGTAGTCTACACAGAGTCTCATTTTTCCATCGTTCTTTTTGACCAATGGTATCGGAGATCCTCCTGATGCAAGGGAGTCTCTGATCCATCCTCGCTTTAGGTTTCACTGGATGTACTTTCTAAGTTCTTTGAGCTCTGCTTCTCCTAGTGGGTATAACTTCTTATTGGTAATCTCTTTTGTTTTTCCAATTTTCTTGTCTTTGTTCAGCTGAATTTCATGGCTGATTCCTGGTCTTCGGGGTGGTAGTCCTGTAGCTTCTTATTCTTGGAATAGATTTGTGAATTGATGATATTCCTTTGGAATCAATTCTTTCCATCCTTTTTTTGCTTTGGTATTTCTTGTCTTGGATTGCTAGTTCCATGCTGATGTTGATTTTTGCCAGAACTGCTTTCTCGCCTTCATATGTCCATTTGAGAATTCCCATTATATCTCCCCTTCGATTGTACCGTCCAAAGGTTTATGCTGTAATCTCTTTGATCTCAATTCTTTTTGTTGTATTGGGCTGGTTCTGGTCTGTGCTTCCAAATCCCTTGTGTCCTCGCGTAGTTTCTTCCAGTTGATCTACTTTGTGCAGATCCTCCTTGTTGATTTTTTCAATGATCAACTGTGTGATTTGATCGCCTATCTGGACTTCATAGTCCTCTTGAGCCAGGTTGGCCAAGACCACTTTGATTTCACCTGGATAGTCAGTGTCAATCACCCCCGCCATGGTCATGAGTCGATATTTGACTACTAGACCACTGCGGGATGCTACCCGCCCATAGGAGCCTTCTGGTAGTCCGATGGCTATTCCTGTCTCTATTGTCGAGTGCTGGTTGGCAGTTAACTTAGTTTCTTTGTTGGCATACAGGTTGTGTCCTGCTGTCCCTTTGGAACCCATAGTAGGCACTTTTGCCCTTTGGTCCAGCTTTTGTGTCTGGACTCTCTTGTCTTGTCTTATCTTGGCGAACTTTGCATGCAAGGTTTCTTCTTCCACTTCCTGGATCAGTATTGAGTAGACCACAGGTGAACTATTAAGACATCGTGTCGTACACAGTTTACTGGTGAAGGTCATCTTGTTCTCATTCCAATTGATTATCAGGTTATACTTTTATAACCATGGCATCCCTAGGACTATCTCATGGTTCTTGAGATCTGCTACCTGAAAGGTTGCCATTTCGCTATAGCTGTCAATGTCCATAGGTACTGTGACTGTATGGGTTATAGGACCCATTGCGCTTGACTTTCTATCAGCTAGGTAGACCTGTCTCACTTTCTTTGCTTTCTTAGTGTGGAGGTCGTATTTGTCGTGGATTTCCTTGTCGATGAAATTATTGGTAGCCCCGGAGTCGAGCAATGCATATATCATTAGTTCTTTGTGCTTTTCGTTGCGTATCCTTGTTTTGATTATTACATGATCTCCGCCTTCTTCTCCCCTTTGCGAATGTAGTACAGTGTAGTAGTTTGCTAACTTGATGGGTCTTTCAGGTCCACATCTTGGATCTCTCAGACCACTATTTACTGGGGACCCTCATCGGTTTCCGCCGGGAAATCTTCTGCGATCATTTCGCAAATGTTGCTCCTCTTTTGAGCTTGCAAGTAATTGTTCCCAGCAGCCTTGGTTCCTTGGTATCTACTGTCTGGTTGGCTTCTGTATTCTCATATCCGATGTGCTACTTTTCCGCACCTCAACCAGAGTTTCCCATTCATTCTTCTAGCGTATTCTTCCTTTAACAGGTTCAGAGCAGGTCTAGCCTTTGATTTATCCAACTCTATTAGTTCTCCTGGTGGTAATGCTCTGCTTTCACCTCCAGCTGCCTCTGGTTTGAAGGTTCCATCCATGTTTCTGGATGATTGGGCCATCTTATATGCTATGGTGTTCTCCGAGGTGTTATGAACCATGTTTAGTTTGCTTTCCTTATCGATCGCCCATCTTGCAAATCGTTCTACTGTTGTGTAGTGTAAGTTGGAGATTCTCCATGCTTCTCGGAGTCTCTTACTGCAGTTTCTTAGGAGGATGATGTTGAGGGTAGCATCATCAAATTCTGCCTCATATTCCAATAGTGGGCAGTCGTTCCAATATGCCGAAAAGGTCTGTTTTCCTTATTGGAATTTCTCTAGCTTTCATCTTGCTGTCTCCTTGGCATTGGGATCTCTGAATTGTTCAAAGAGTGTCGCCTTGAATTCCTCGTATGTGACCCATTCCCTCTGTTTCCTTGCATCTTGGAAGGATATGATCTATTGTCCCACCAGTTCTCTGACTAGAGATTCCACATATGGAATTTTGATCTCATTGTGGTGTTTTCCACATCCCTTGACAGCAAAATACCCTTCGCATTGTGCCAGGAATATTTGTACCTCATCTTCTGCTCCTTCATATGTGTCGGGTTCTTTTGCTTTCAGTCGCTGGATATTTCCTTATCCTGTGTTTCGTGTTGCTGCTAGAATTGCCTGAAACTGATTTTCAGTTATTCTAAGTATCCTAGTACCTGGTACCGGAGCGGCTGGGGCTGGTGGCATAGGTACTGCTGATCCCGACATTTTCTCAGGTCGTGGAGTTCCTGCAGGAGAGCTATCGACTGGTGATCACTTCTATGGGGTTACTGGGCTTGCTGCCCTTGAGGGCTCTGCTGAGACATGATCTATGGCATCGCTAAATCCCCTTAGGTTAAGGTTTTCATTGTCGGTGTTGATATCTCCTTCCCTATCTGGATTGAAGGATGCCGTCTTGTATCATGTAGCGTCGTACTAGGTGACGCTTTGTAATACAATGATCCCTCCTCGGATATTTAGTTCTTGGCTATGGGGAACGATACTTCTCTTCTTCTTATGTTTCTTTCCTTATTCTTATGATAGCAGTAGGCCTCTGCCTACATTGCCAATAGTACAAGACCTCTGTCTTCTATCAGGAACGCCTATCATAAGCATTCTCTAACTCTTCTTTGTGAAGAGCTTACTTTGGCGTAACAATAATGTAGAGATAAAGTTAAAGATTGTAAAGGTGTTTTATATTTGTTAACGTAATAAGTAGGAAAAGTACTTAGAGCAAAGTGTGAAGAACCTTTCCTCCTCGGCTGCATCCGCCTCCTTATATAGTATTCTTCCCATCCATTGTCATGTGACCCAAAGTGGTCACATGTGCGAAACCAAATTATAACAAACTAATCATGTAACCAAAGTGGTCACACACTCAAAGCCCATGACCTCATAGCATGGTCATATGCAAAAACTCATAAACTAATCATAACGCAATAAACAAGTCATATTACTCGAATGAGTCATATGCAGAAAACCCATGACCTCATCATGAGGTCATGTACAAAACATAAATTATATGTGCAAGTCATACCCGCAAGGCACTCTCGCAAGGCATACTTGCCAGGCGCATATCCCATGACTCATAATCGAGTCATGTGTGAAACATAATATAATAAGTCATATGACCCAAATGAGTCATATGCATAAAACAATAACATACCTATGACTCATAATCATGAGTCACGTGAAAACCATTTTCCGTGCCAAGTCACATTCGTGACACAGTGCCAAATGTATACAGTCATTACCTAGGAGAGAGTCGCTATGAACACCACACTGAGGTGCAGCTGACCGCAAAAACGGGGGTGTGGTAAATTGACAGAAATGGCCTCGGCCTGCACATAATTCAGGCGACCAATGCGGGCCTCTGCCGTAGTATTAGTTTGGTAAAAGTAGAAAGCTCTGATTGTGTGTGGCCTTGCGAGTGTAATATCACTCCTGTAGCCCCAGGTCTACTCCTGCTGGCACCTCATAAAATTTCCAGTGCAATGCCCTCTGCACTACCTTACACCAGATAATCGAACCCTCCAAAAGAGTAACCTACTGTAATGCTAAGAGGTTCTTGAGTTATTGATGGCCAGTAACCCCTCTGATAGTAGCCAAACTCTCTTAACAGCTAGTAAATGGACCACATCACCTCGCCTGAGAGATCTGGTAAACGGCTGAATCTACAGCCATATCTTATGGGAATGCAATAGTGAATGATTTCCCTGAGCTATGGGGACGGGCTTTCCATCAAAGCTGGCTGAAGTTGGCTAAGAAGATCTCCTCATTCAAGGAGAGGATCCTGCCTCCTACCAAGTACTTAGAGTATATCGAGTTGGTAATGGATGATAATGGTAGTCTCACTGTAGTTTAATGGGAACCGGGAAGTAACTGTTAGGTGGAGACAACTTGATAGACTTCAAAGTTGTCTAGGCCAATTGAGATTCATTTCTGTAGATGGGAATTGTCTAGGAAGGCTCGGACTTTGCTTGTTTTGTTTATGACTACTAGGAGTGAAGTAGAATCTGTAAAGTAGGGTAGAATTGTAAAAACAATATTATATTATTAAGGTCTCTTCTCTGTTGCTTGATGATGTTAAAGCTTGGGAGGCACTTCGATATTTATATTCCACGTCTGAGTGTTTGCAGACTACATCTATTTATCATACAACTATGTACTTCTTCAATCGTAATTCGCAAAGTCGAGTTTTCTTCCAAGGTGCGAACACCTGTAGACCCTGAAAACCATCACACCCTTTTCGGTAATTACGATATTTCTTCTTAGGAAGCGTGCTGTCTCCAATAGTAATATCTCGATTAGCAGAGTCTTTAGACTTAAGGCCTAGTTCTTAAGTCAAACTGAGTTGGCTCCAATTGTCTTTGCCATTGGTAAAATGATCAGTTTTATCCACAGCTATATCTGCAAAGGTGGTTGTCATTACAACTATCGTAGGCCGTCTGACTCCGATCCTTTGTAACTCCATACCCAACCAATAGATTTTCTCTAGATGACTTCCTATCAACTCGCAGGAAGCTATTCCACCAGATTGGTAATTAATCCCTCGGTCGGCAACCCTTGGTTGCTCTCTGGGTAGTAGGTTTCAGTAACCATTGTAGTATTGAGAATCACCTCATGATTACGACATGTTCCGAAACACAGTTGCAACACTCCGTCAAGTTCGTTGGCTTCTTTGGTAGTGTCTTTTGGAGTTCTAGACTCTTCTGGTGGATGTAAATGTATTGGTCTCTAGTAGAGATCCTTTACCATTTGATACCATTTCTTTGTGTGAAATCGTCCGTTACTTACGGGCTGTACCAAAGGTATCATGTCTTTGGAGCCAAGTAACTCTCGGAGTAGTTGACGGAATTACTCCGTTCCACTTTCCAGACCTAGCAGAGGGTCCCCTCTCATATATCCTACGAACAGGACCCAGTCGGACAGACGGCGACGACGTATATGGTGATATTCTAATACCTTTAATTCTGTGGTAATATAGTCACAGGACACAACTGAGATTGATATATATGCTGACGTGCGGGCCCTATAAGGGAGCTGGAGGGGAGTGTTGGAGACCAGAGATTCTGATTCCGAGTGGAGTTACCCTACTTAGGGTGGTTCCTAGGTATCGGGTACTGGTATTCCTAATACTAACCGTCATGGCATGGTTGATTGGATATTAACCGCGAAAACCCCCAAGTACCTTTGTAGACACAAGTTCATCATTATTGCCAATGACATCACCGTCAGAATCATATCTTTCTGCTCCGTCTAAGATAAATATTTCCACAAGTGCATGGAATATGAGCAAAAATAGGGCATTACAAGAATTTACTTGTCTGCTAATTCTGGTGCCAGAATTGGTATGACACTTATGTTATTCTATACTGGCAACTTTGAAACTTTAGAAAGTCAAGAAGCTATAAATAAAGAGTCTCACCTGGTAGATACCGAGCCGAGATCCATAATACAACGATTCATACCTTCACTTGAATGACAATATCCGGTACAGCTCTAGTGTGAGAGTGCACGTGAATCTATTGGAAGTGAAAAAACTTACTTCATTCATGTGTGGCTGAGCACTTTGTGGACGAATGAATAAGATTCGTCAAGGTATGTACATACTCTGTCATCTCTCTATACTTCTCTCCTCGCCCCCTTTTCTCTTCTTCCCCTAACTATCTCTTACTCCGCATTCTACTATCATCCTCTTGCTTTTTTTTTTTCAATTAATTCTAATTGATATAATATGTGGTCTAATCAATTCTCAGGTTGGGATAACCAAGAGCTTATTCCGGCTGAAGGTGGTGGTGCTTCGCCTCAAGTTTCATGCTCAGGTTATCTAGGCTACAATGTCTACAATGTCTACAAACCAAAAGCAGCACCTCCTACCTCTCTTAAAAAAAGAAAACCGAGTACACCACTGTCAATTTGGAATCCGGATCCTGTACCCCCCCCATACAAACCAACGCCAACCAGCCCCACTGCTACCAATTGCACTCGCAGCGCCATCAGTGAATCCAATATCCTTCTGAAGAGCGACAGGTCGGCCGATATTATGGGGGTTTCTGACTTCGAGGTCCACAGCCTCTCCGTGAAACCCATAATAACTTTACAAGAACTAAGGCAGCCGAGGATATTGGAACTCCCTGAAATGGCAGATAATGACGTATACTGCAAATACGTTTCGATGAAGGACTTTGATAGCTGGATCATTGAAAACCCAGAACTGGAAGAGAACAAACGCATTCGTTATGAATACAATTCCTTTACTGTGCATCTTATCATAAAGTATATGGCAGCACCAACTCATGACTCACTACAATATTTTTTCAACCAAACCTTCTCCTCCTTTCTGAATGGAAGGATCGAATCATTAAAAGTGATGCAGTTATTTTCCGTTAGTACAGGTACTAGTATGTGTTAAAACAACTCCACTTAAGAATAATGTAGCTAACTCTGTTCAGTGTTTGAAGGTTTTGGGAGCAAGTGAAGTGGCGGATCTTCAAAATTGCCTGATGCCTTTGCATAACTGAACACCATGCGATTTCCTGAAATCGTTTGTGAGTCAGGATTTTCGGAAAGCTGGGATAATTTGATGGATGATGCACGTCTTTGGCTGCTGGGTACAGAAGGAGAGACAAAAATGGTTGTCATTTTGTCCTTTATAGAGAGTCAGTTAAGGGGGAACCTAGTTGAAGACACTACTGACGCAAACAGCATCACTGAAGAACAGACTGTTATTGAGAGTATCAAACAATCAACCACCCAAACTAATTTGGCACAAATGTTAGAACAACTGAATCAACATGCCAAGTTAAACAAACCATTGCTAGGAGACCTTTCGGCAACTTTCCACTTATTCCGCGCCATAAAGGATTATACGGATATTGAGGAATTTTTTAATTCAATAGTTCTTCCACCTACCTTTCTGTGATTCTACTGTTCACTCACTAGAAGTACCCCCCAATGATCCTTCCATTCTCCCAGCCCTCATGAGAAATTCTACCATTCTGAAAATACCTGCTAGTACTTCTACAGTGCTCTCAGTACACCCCACTGCTCGTATCATTCTCCCAGTCCTCTCTAGAGGTTCTACCATTCTCTCAGAACCTTCTAGCGATTCTACCACTCCCGCAGTACCTGCCAGTACTTCTACTGTTCCTCCAGAACCCTCCAGTAAATCTACTGTCCTCTCAGTACCTCCCACTGATCCTACCATTCTCTTGGTCCTTGCTAGCAATTTTACTGTTCTCCCTTCTCCTCCCTGAGATTCTATTGTTCTCCTAGTATTCACTAGCATTTCTACCTGAATCTGGGAATATCAGATCCTGTTAGTGCATATCTTCGGCAATAATCTGCTCCAAGTGTGTTGGAGCTTGAGGGTGGCGTGGTACCTTTCTACATTAGGCTTATCTGTCATTATTGCAATTTTTTCTCTTACTGTCAGAATTGCATCACTCTAGTTACTCTTGTTGCTCACTCCCAAAGTACAGCTGTCTTTTACTGGTAATACGTGTCATGGTTGTATTCATGTTACTTCCTCTTTCATTTGTAACACTTTGTTATCTTCTATGTATTTAAGAGCCAGGATATCGCTCATAGTGAAGGAGAGAATAGTGAACGAGCCTTGTCCTATCACAACAAACCTATCCTAGTCACTGGTATTCCTCAAGCGATTATTCTGTTTCGGAGTCTTACAGCTCTCATCGTACTTCCCAAAATGAACAGGTTATGACCCCGGAGCTCACAGCACTTACAATCACTTTCACTATTCATGAGTAACAATTCATATCCTAAACTCTCTACCCTACCAGAGCACGATCCTGAGAGACACATAATGGTTACCCTTGGATCCTCTACCTTCTGGTCTCAGATCAAGGAAGACAAACCTGTTACCATCAAACTTGATAATATCAAGCAATAGACTGGCCAGGAAAACTATAATATTTGGGAAACGACCATGCAGTTAGTTTGGAAAGGTATGAAGACTTATGAAATGGTTGTTGAAGCACAGCAGCAATCTGAAGATGCGGACCAGGATGAAGTGACCGCTTACATGGCACTTTGCCATCAGGCATCCGCGATCTATATACAAGTTGTTTCTACAGAGATGTTAGAGAAACTTGTTGAATTCGATCAACCACATGAGATGTGGAAATATCTCAGGACAAAGTATTACCGCGATACTGCTTTCGCTCTCATTTCCCAGATAACCAATCTCTTCTATCTATCAACCTCCTCTGATCCTACATAGCCCATATCCGCCTTTATTGCTCAGTTTGAAACTGAATGGTTACGACTGGGAAAACTGGCGAAGGCATCCAAGGACTCATATCGCCAAATGTTTGCCAAATTCTTAGCCGAAGATAAGGCAAAACACGATTTTCTCTTAGGCTTTCTTGTAAGCTATCAAAAGAATATCGTTGATAACCTCGCCACAAAGAATGACCTCACCTTTGCTGCAATGAAGCAACGACTCTTAGACTTGGATCTCGTACAAGGAGTAACAAGAACCCAAGAAGCTCTTACAACAGTCGACTACTGGAAGCAGAAGCGCAGCCCAAAATCTCAACCTGTAAGAAACTCAACAGATAAGCTGGAAAAGTGTACCTGGTGTAGTAAGCATCACCCTGAACACTATAAGGGCCATACATGGAACAACTGTTTTCGGTTGAAATCCTACAACTAGAAGAAGGGAGATGGGAATGGTGCTCGTGAGGAAGCACATACTGTCTCAGACACCTTGAAGAAGGTCAGCCGCTTCTCATTCTACTTTGATACATGTGCGACATCTCATATGTATCCAGATGCAAATCGATTTGAAGATGTCACAATTTGTTCTGGAGTTGTAAAATCCAGCTCTATGGACACAATGAGGATTAAAGGAAAAGGAAGTGTTGTGTTTCACTGTTTGTTGTGTAATTGGAATGTCTCTTCTTTTTATCTTAATGATGTCCTTCTTGACCCACAACTTGAAAGACCCCTGGTCTCATGGCACAAATTGCAAAATAAAGGATATCGTATAATTGGAGAAGAACCCGTGATATCTGTTATAAAAGAAGGAAAAACAGTATTGGAGGCGATTTTTGATGGATTTCTTCCTCGGATCCCTAAAGTACAAGAGTCTGCACTGCTGACGTTTGAGTTCTGGTACGAGGCCCTGGGATACTTAGCACTGTCTGCACTTGATCAGTCCCATAGTCTGTTTGTAGACTCAGGCTTTCTGCCTCCAAGCCCACGGGGTTTCCACTGTAAGGCATGTATAGTTGCCAAATCAAAACACAAAGTTCCAACTCAGGTGATACCTCGTACTACTCACAAAGTTGAACTTATACATTCTGACCAGTGTGGACCCTTTCCGGTCCCATCTTACAGCAATTCACTATATTACATATCCTTTTCCTGCGATGCGACTCGCTATTGCTAGGTCCGCTTTCTTAAAAACAAATCTGATGTCTCTCAGATCGTTGGTGACTTTGTTGCTGAAGTGGAAAAACAGTCAACATGTACCATACGCAGGTTTTGAACCGACAATGGGGGAGAATACGTGAATGCCAAGCTCACTAAATTTTTCACCTCTAAAGGAATTGTCCATGAGCTAACACCGCTTTACTTACCTGAGTCCAATGGTGTAGTGGAACAACTCAACAGAACTGTTGGGGAAGGATTCCGTGTAATGGTGAATGAGATACAAGACCGCTGACTGTGGGCAGAGGCAGTTGGAAGATTTGTATACCTAAAAAACCACCAACTCCATAGCGCATTGGGAATGAGAACTCTCTTGGAGGCTTTCTTTGACAAGAAGCCATCAATTGACCACCTCCAACCATTTGGCCGTGAATGCTACTTGCATATCCCAAAAGCCAAACGTGGACTTGGATCCAAACTGCTACCAAAAGCACAGCAGGGACTGTTTGTAGGATATACTGCTGTTAACCACCAGTATAGAGTATTCCATTCTGAGGAAAAAACCTACCATAGTTTCGGCCGATATTTTCTTCCCACCTCTCTCCGCAGCCAATGCCTCTAGTGTTGAAGGCATCGCTTCAGGTGGTGTAGATCTCGCTGTTGCTTGCAAAACTCCTGTGACTCAGTCTGCGATACCTTCCATTTCTCTGAGGTACAGAGCAAACGGCAACAGCTTCCCTACTGATGATATGTGGTTAGTATGGATGGACCAGCATCCTGAAACTGCCAATGAATAGTATGGCAAAGGCCATCCAAAAGTGCTAGAAACTTTCGAACAAGAAAAGGCACACGGAAAGCGCGATG